GAAACCGGCTCCCCGGGCCAGGTCCCAGCACCACCCCTGGGGGACCATTCCGTGCCGGCCTAACAAAGTCACACTCACACATGCCCTTTGACCCGACGGTGCCTTCCAGACACCTCGCCCAGGTCGAAACGACACGCCACGGGGATTCGTTACCCCACTGCATGTGCAGAAGGTTGGAAACAACCTGGGTGCCCCTGGCATTCGGGCTGGGAAAGCCGGCCCGGCCCGCGGTGAACAGCGTGCACCCGCCTGGAAGGACGGGGGAGCGCGCGGCTGCGGCGCGGTGGTTTCCATGACGCACGGTCAAGTTTAAAAAGGCGGCAGGGCGGGGAGTGCCTCTCAGCTGCCACTTGGGGTCCGCTGAGCTTAGCTGACTGATAGGCCAGAGTCTTACTAGCATCTCCCGGGAAGCCGGCTGGAAACACGTGCAACTGTTTATTAGGGGAGACAGAATTAACAGCCCACTTGTGGGCCAGCTGCTCCCTTTTTGAAAGGGGATGGAAAACATATATATGATTTTTGTTTCTAACTAGTAAGATTCCCTCCAGAGGGATATAAACAAGAAACGGGTGACCTTAGTCACCTCCAGAGAAAAGACGGTCCTCTGTGTGGGGACATGAGTGGGAGGGAGACCTTTCCGCCACCAGGTTTTGGTGTCTTGGATTTTGAACCATGTGTATGGACTGTCCCGGATCCTCTGCACCTGCCTTTGGGAGAAATTTTGCCTTGTGGGTAGTCTCCAGTATGGTGGGAGCGAGGGAGTTGGGGGCAGGTCCCAGCACCACCTTTGCCTGTCTGAGTGAGCCCTGGGCTCAGGTGCCTGAGTGGTCACCCGCCAGGGCCCTGGGCCCCATCTGTTTCCACTGCCGGATTGGTGAGGCTGCTCACGGCCAAGGGATCTGGGAATTCTTTGGCTGATTGAAATATTCTGTAATCTCACCGAACCATGCACTTAAACTGGGTGTATTTTATTGCATGTAAATTGTACCTCAATCAAGTTGATTTAAGGTACACACACACACACTATATGCATATATACAAACATATGTCATGATAACAATAGAACAAAAGGGAAGAGGGGTCTAAATGTGTCTTTGCATTGTCATGGCTGTGTTAAAAATACTAATTTATATTTGACCTTAATAAACCAAGGATTCATATTATAATCTCTAGGGTACCCAGTAAAAGACAAATAAAATAATAAAATATAATTAGTATAAAAGAGGAAGAGAAAGGGGAGGAAAAGGAAATAGAACAGATGGGACAAATAGTAACAGGAAAGATTTAAATTTAAAGACAGGTAGGGGCAAAAATAGGTTTCCAGTTGTGAGCACGTGAAACAGAGTTTATTCTTGTATTATTAATTATTGTATTATTTTCCATACGAACAACTGTAAACCTACTTTTGCCTCGCCCTGTATGTTGGCATTACATTAAATATAAAACAAATAATCCAGTTCAAAGACAAAGGATATTAGATACGGGGTTAACAAAAAAAAAACCCCACACAACTACATCCAGCTTACAAGAGACAGACTTAAAATATAAGGATAAGATTGAAAGTGAAGAGATGGAAAAATATATATATCATGAAAGCATTAACCACAACAAATCCCATGCAGCTTCCTGCTGAAATATGTGGATCCTCTGGCTCGTCCATCATTTGCTTCTGGCTGATTCCTCACTGTGCTCTCAGAGGGGGCCCTTCTTTCAAAGTTTTGGGGTGCCCAGCCGAGTCTTTCAATTACATGACATATTTCACATTCAGGTTACACACTTATCTTTTTAAAATGTAGTGGTCTTTGCACCCATGTATTTGGCTTCCTTAAATTCATCTATAACAATGAAGTAATCTTTTGATTCAGAAACTTGGGGTACTCATATCCAGAAGTCCCTTACTCTTATTGGTTTTCATCTCTTAATATCCTCAAATACAGTCCCCTCTTTCCATTCGAACAGCTACTTCCCTGGCGCCAGGCAGCAGTTCTTGCCTGGATTATGCAGGCTCTCAGTTGGTTTATCAGGGACCACTTTTGCCCTCTCTGATCCATTCTCGACACAACAGCCAGAGTCTTTCAAACGCATAGTTCAGACAGTGGCATTCCCTGCAAGGGGTCTCCATCACATAGGAAAAACCAACTGGTTAGGTACATTCTTTTTAGAATCTGTCTGGCCTTTGTGACCTCTCACCCCCTCATCACCCCACACTTCACTGCCTTTAGCTTTGTTTTCTGTCACTCGGCTGATGTAAGAAACCATCCAAACGTGTAGAGTTTTTTTAAAGATTTGAGCCAAACTGACAATTGCCAGGAAGCAAGATCTCAGGTGCTCCAGAGAGCGACAGTTTTGCAGTTTCTTTAATGCATTTGAAATTAAGGAATGAAGGTGGGAGAAAGTAAGGCGGGGATTGTATTACAGAATAATTAACAAGATAATGTGCTCTCTCGGGGGTGGTTACTCTTATTTTTCAAAGGTGTGCTAACCTAGATGCACAAAAACAATGCACAGGACTTGCTTACGGCAAAGATAAACCTTTTACTAAAGAAGTTACATGCCCGGGGCGTGAATACGACCATAACCTGCCCATTTATAAACTTATGATCAGATCACCCCATGAAGTTACTTCCTGTAGAACCCCTTTCTCACCCACAACTTCCTTGAATGGCTCCTGTCCCTGCTTCAGGGTCCTCCACCCAGCCGCTTACCTAATGCTTCTCTTAGGTTCAGAGCAGTACCCTGCACACAACAGGCGCTTAATACCTGTATAAGAGATGCAAGGACTGACTGGGGCATTGGCGAGCATTCAGAGCAATTCCCTCCAAACAAAAAAGGGGGAAAAAATTTAATAAAACAAATAAATACAGAGCCCGGCCGGGCGCGGCTCAGCGGTTTAGCATCGACCTAGGATCCAGGCGATCACGGTTGGATTCCCCGGTCAGGGCACACGCCCGGGTCGCGGGCTCGATCCCCAGTCGGGCGCTTGCAGGAGGCAGCCGATCAATCCCGAGTCTCCCATCACTGATGTTTCTCTCTCTCTCTCCCTCTGAAATCAATAAATATATATTTTTTAAAAATAAAAAACAAACAAAGAAACAAAGCGTAATTCCCCCGCCCCCTTCCCCGGCTCCTCCCGCAGCTAGAAACGCGTCGGGGAGCTGTGGGGGCTGCAGGGGTGACGGCCGCAGCCCCTAGAAAACCCAGCGGCCGACTCCGCGTCCAGGTAATCTTATTACTGAGACCTTCCCACGCGGGAACGCGGGCCGGAAGGATACCGCGACTCTCCCCGAGCCATCATTGGCTGGAACCGAGGAAGGGGCGGGAACTCGGCTTAGCCCTGGTTCCTTATTGGCTAAAACTATGGAGCTGAAAGAAGGGGTGGAACCTGCCTTCCGCCTGACTGTTCATTGGCTAAAACCTCGCGGGTAAGTGATAGACAAAGGCCCTTGTCCCGCCCCTCGAGCCAACCCTTTAACTTAAAAAAACACGGCGTTGAGGACAGAGTGAAAGTTCACCCCGGAGTCCTGGGGCCTTCCCTCGGACCTTTGCGGCCCCCCTCCCCTCCGAGGCCTTGGAGTCTCGCTGAGCCCGGGGATATAGAGAAAGGCGAGCAGTGCGGGAGGCCGGAACGAATCCTTCGCGGAACCATCGAAGCGAGGCCTCTGGGAGCACGCGGCGGGACTGACCGCGGCGGACCGGGCCAGATCCGCACAGGGATGGCCGCGGGGGCTGCCGACGCGGGGCGGGGGGTCGCCATCCCCGTGGAGCTGCGGCGCGAGCGGCGCTTGGTGTGCGTGGAGTACCCGGGCTTGGTGCGCGACGTGTCCAAGATGCTGTCGACCCTGGGCGGCGAGGAAGGCGTTTCCCGGGTGAGGAAGGGGGAGTCTCCGGGACCGCGGGAGGGACCGAGCTGTGAGATTAAGGCCGGAGGGGCGGGACCACCCGGGGGAAAGGGTGTGGTTTCCTAGGCGACGGAGCTTTAGGCGGGTTCTGGTGCGGGCAGTGGGCGGGGCTTTTCCTCGGAAGCCGAGGGACGAGGGCTGTAGGGAGATCCCGGGAGGGAAGGGGGTGTTCTTTGCATCCCACCCTGGGCTGCCACAGCCCCTTTCCACAGGAGTAGAAAACAGAGGCGCGCGGAGATTAAGAACCATTGACCTACATGAGAGGGAGACGAAGTGTTCTGTTGTTAGGGTTAAAGGTAGCCATATAGTTCACTCTTCTGCAGCAGGAACAGTTGAGTGTCCACCATGAGCTAGGAGCTGGGCTAAGTGCTGTGCCCATATTTTCATTTAATCATCGTAACACTCCAATGAATAGGCGCTCTTATTATGTCCGTTTTAAGAAGGAGCCAAGGCTTGCAAAGGACAAGTAGCAGCTAGTCAGAGCCAAAATGCTTGTTACTGATGGATTTAATCTCTTTCGGACCTGGAAACACTTGCATACAAGACCCTTGGGGTGGGTAGTTAGTGCGCAGAGTAGGAAGCCCTGGACAAGTGGCCTCAGTTACCTCCACAGTAAACTCAGGTGATAATACCTCCCAGAAGCCACAGCGGAGGAGTCCCCTGATTTCTGGCACTGACTGGGCACTTGACCATGACCGCTTTACTTAACTGGCAGTTATCTCCAGCTTCACAAACTGCTGAGAAGGAAGAGACTATCCTCATTTTCTCTGCCAGATAAAAACTAAGATACTTGGGTTTGAAAAGTGAGTCTTCGGGGACCTACGCTCTGAATGAAACATGAGCTTCCTGGCCCTTCCTTGGTCACCTGGGTCACCACCAGACTTTTGTTGAGAGAGAGGAACAGTTCCCTGCTGGCTGCTTAACTGGCCACTGCTTCATCCATCTCCGTTGGCCTTGCCACAGATCTATACAGACCCCACCAAGAGGCTGGAGCTGCACTTCCGGCCCAAGGACCCCTACTGCCACCCCGTGTGCGCCAACCGCTTCAGTACTAGCAGCCTGCTGCTCCGGATCAGGAGGAAGACAAAGCGGCAGGAGGGGGTGCTGGGGCCCGAGGCCCACCCCAAGGTCACTTTCAATGTGGAGGTCCTTGGCACCGTCCCCACCATATACAAATTTCAAGGTAACTACAAAGTGTATTCTTATTGCACTCGGTTATCTCAGGGCCTGTGTCCCCACTGCTTGCCGGAGCCTTGTAGGTCAGCCACGTAAGTGCAGTGAGCCAGGAATGCGCAGGGGTGAGAGGTGAGGGAGCCTCTTCCCTCCAGCCAACAGCTTCCTGCAGACCCTGAGTGGGCTCACCGCTGCTCGATTTCTGCATTTTTATTTATTTATTAATCCTCACCTGAGGATATTGTTTCCATTGCTTTTCAGAGCGGAAGGAAGAGCGACAGAGATAGAGAGAAACATCGATGTGAGAGAGACACATCAATTGTTTGTCTCCCGCACCCACCCCACCAGGGCAGGGGATTGAGCCTGCAACCAAGGTACATGCCCTTGGCCAGAATGAAACCCAGAACCTTCAGTCCACGGGCTGATGCTCTAACCCTGAGCAAAACCGGCTAGAGCAGTTTCTGCATTCTTAAGAGGAGCTGGAGTTCCATGAAATGTGTCCTAATTTTCAAAGTTATTATGTGGGCCAAATAAAACTGGTCAGCAGGTCTCCAGTCCTCAGCCCCCGCAGTGTTGTGAAACCTGATCTCCGTCTTCACTGCTGCTGGTGTTGCTCTCTCTGTGTCGCTCTCCCTTCCTCTCTGAAAAGCAATGGAAACAAATCCTCAGGTGAGGATTAATAAGCCTTTCCAGATCACCTCAGCCCCTTGGGACGTCATGTTCCTTGTACTCTTAGCCAATTGGATGTCTCCCATGGCTTCCTCAATCAAGTTTGCTACCCGCAGGGAGCTCCAGTCAGGAAGGGAGGCAGTAAGGCGGGGGAGGGAGAAGGGGAGCGAGAAACGACACGGACTTTGGAACTGTGCCTTCCTGAGCAGATCACTAGGCTTCTCTCGGCCTCAGTCTCCTTGTCTGGACAGTGGGGTCCTGAGTTCGTTAGGCCCTTGTGAAGATTCAGGGAGGTGATGCCCATTAAGGGGCCCGCCCACTGTGTGCGGGGAACTTAGAAACGTTTAGTTGCAGCTGCAGTTCTCAGAATCTTAAGAAAGATTGAGAAGGTTAGAGGGGGATAGGAAGAGAAAAGAAACTAAAACAGGACCTGGACCCAGGACCCCAGGGGTTGGCATTTTGACTGTTGCTCATTCTGGTGGGATGTGGTATTCACCAGAGTGGGCTGGTTTTGCTCAGACAAGGCTTTCTGAGTGATTTCACTTTTCATCTCTAATTGAGCCAGCACCTCACCAGTCAGAGTGCATCCCTGGACGAGCAGCACCTGCCTCACCTGGGAGCTTGTTAGAAATGCAGCATCTCAGAATCTGCGTTTAGCAAGATCCCAGCTGAGTCACAGGCACCTTACATCTCGAGAAGCACTGACCCAGACTTTATTCTCACGTACCACAGAGCCCTACCCCACTCCCCAACCTTCACATACTATTTATCCAAGTGACTTGGAGTGCATGGGAGCATTGCGGAGGCGTATGGTTTCAGCTCTTGCCACAAAGGCCCACAGTCTCCACCGTGGGGCTTGCTCAGCACCTCCCCAAGGGGACATGGGCCTTGGTGCATGGGAGCTGCCCCTTCCTGGGCAGGTATAATAAGGAGAGTTGTCCCTGGCTGCAGTGTTGGCCACCGCTCTGCCTCTCCCCCCAGGAATGTCTGACTTCCAGTACTTGGCCGTGCACACGGAGGCGGGTGGTGCTCACAAGTCAATGTATGACAAAGTGCTCATGCTCAGACCCGAGAAGGAGGGCTTCTTCCATCAGGAGCTGCCGCTCTACATCCCTCCGCCCATCTTCTCCCGGCTGGACACCCCGGCTGACTACTTCTATCGACCAGAGACTCAGCATCGGTGAGTCCCACCTCTGCAGTGTCAGGGGCAAAGCAAGGGCCCTGGGCTGGGGCGTGACTGCCACTCAGCGTCAGAGGCCTCAGGCATGCCCTTAGCCTGTCTGACCTCAGCTCTCATCTCAAAAACCCGATACTGAGTACCCACCCAACAGGGGCATTAGGATTCAATTTAAAATACACGGGAAGTTTCCGCACAGGGCCAAGTACACAGAAAGCCCTTGGTGAGCGGTGCCTGTGTGCTCATGAGCTGGAGGGCCCTTAGAGGACAGATAACCTAGCTCTGGGACTTGGTTCCAGCCAAGAAATGGCCGTTTTGGCTTAGTCCCTGGTCATTGCCACCCTCCTGACCTTGCTGTCACCAGTAATGACACTACATCAGAAATCCCACCTGCGAGTGTCCCCCTCTGAGCCCAGCACTTTTCCACCACCTCCGTTTCCCGCCCCTCGCCCTCCCTGTCCCCATCCCTCCCAGTGACTTCATGACCATCTTTGTAATTCATCCTCGCTGTGCCCATCTCCCTTTGCCACACTCACCTCCAAACACCAGCCCTAGTTTGCCTCAGCTGTGTGCCACCTCCTGAGGTGCCATCGCTCTCGTGGTTGCCGTGACCTTGCTTACTATGTTCTTGCTCACTGTCTGTCCGCTCGCGAGAACACGATCTCCTGAGCAGAGGGATGCGTGTCTCTTCACTCAGGTGATTTCTCTTACACTGAGAGTGAGAAAAGCCAGGTGAACACGCATCATGGTGTGTATCACAGCCGTCTCCCAGCCTGCAGCCATGTGCTCCCCAAAAAGAACATGTGTGAGTGCTGCATTTGTATAAACGAAATGCTTTCATTTAGACAACCTTGACAGTATGGAGAGACCCCCAGAGGTTATAGGCAAGGCAGTCCTGGCCATGTCAAATGTCGATTTTACATTAGAGCCCAGCCACACAGTGATAGGAAAGAATGGGATTTCCTTTGTCTAAAAGCCAAGACAGAATAGTATTAAAAAAGAAAAGAAAAACCTGAGTTTGAAAATGCCCAATTTGAGAATAATATAGCCCCCTCCATGGCCAGTGATTTAGCATCTGAGAGAAGCTCTGTGCATGTTTTGACAAAGGGGAGATGGGGCTCGGGGTCAGTGACTGGTCCAGGGCATATGGCAGCCCCGGAGCCCCTGACTTCTGATCCCAGCCCCTCGCTCATTGCCGTGCAGTCCGTATTTTTGCATGCTTTAGTTTTTCAAATTATACACAAAAGGACACAAAGTTCTAAATGTCTCACTTTCAGTGTGAGCTCCCTGAAGGTAGTGATTACACTAAGGCCTCTTCTGTTCTTTGTTGCAACCCTGGTGTCCAGAACAGCTGGCCTGTGAGAGGCCCTCTGCCAGTATTTATGACCCCAGTGGATGAAGCGTTGGGGGAGCAAGAGTAGGAAAAACAGATTAGGAAAAAGGAAAAAGACAATTTGAGAAATGGCCCATAGGTGGTGATAGTCGTTAAAGGATTATTTATAGCATGTTTTAAACTTCCAGAAATGTGGAGGACTTTAGCGCCTGCTGACCTGGTAGCTGAGCGTCACCTCTCCTCTGGCTGGTGAGGGCTGCCAGCTGTGCTCAAGCCCATGGCCCCAGTGCCTCCAGAGCAGAGCAGCTGGTGACTAGCCCTGGCAAAGATGTACCCTGGGCCCTGCACCCTGCATCCCTGGAGGCCTTGCTCAGAGCTGTTCCTACACCACAGAGAGTGAATCGGGATGTCGCCTTTTGGACTTGAAGACCCATCCCCAAAAGTGTGCACCTTGAGGTGTGGAGAAACAGACACCCTCTACTGACGGGTCTCTGAGAATGAGGTCAGCTTTTTTGGCGAGCAGTTTGGCAAAATCTATTACGATTTTAGATGTTCTTTTTCTGTTTTCCAAACATTCCCATTCGTAGAAATTTATCCTACAGTGACTCTCACCTAAGAGTTCAAAGATCCAGTTATGAGAGGATTTACTGATTGTTGGCCGCAGTAATAAGCTGGGAGCTGGTGTGGGAGAGCAGACGGGCGTGGGCACCGCGCTCAGGTCCTGAGTGAGCCGGGGCCTCCCTCACAGCGTCCCGTCTGTGCGGGAGATGGTGACAGTACACACTGCCCTGCGGTGCTGGGGGCTCACATGGCAGAGTCTTGAAATAGTTACAGTAGCAAGTGCCTGGCAGGGTGTGATAAAGTAATAAATCAGTGATCAGTCCCTGACAGGGACGTGGTCAGTTACGTGATGGACCGTCTGTCCCAGGGAACACTGTGCATCCTGTAGGAGCTGGCTTGTGGATTGACGTGGTGCGTGTCCAGGGTACACCCGCTCTATGAAAGAGGCAGGTGTTAGAGCAGGTTCTGTGGTATAAAAATAAACTGGTGTGATGCTGGAAGCCTAGAAAAACCTGGAAGGCTGGGGTCCAAACAGTTATCTCTGTATGGGAACTTTCTCTTACCTCCTTAAGTATTTCCTGCAACAAGTAGTGACCACCTGTCATGGCCCCAAGCACTCTCTGGAGCCTGGCGTCAGGGAGGACAGGACATGGAGGGTCTGGGAGTTGGAGAGCTGGATGGAACATGGGTGAACAATGAGCGTCCACATGCTTGTGTGACAGGAGATGAAAGGGAAGTAGTCGTAATGGACAGGGAGTGGGGCAGGGGCTAAGGGTGTCAGAGAGGGCCCTCAGAGGAGCTGACATTTGAAACAGACCTGAGCGATGACAGTGCTGGGCAGGTGAAGATCCGGGAGGACATTCCAGACCAGGGGATTATCAAAGTACAGTCAGGGGACTGGTCACCCCAGAGAAAGGTAGGGGTGAAGATCTCGCAGATTCTGCTCAGGGGCCTGATTTTCTCCTAAGGAAAAGGTGTGGTGTTCTCCTCCTTAAAAAAAAATTTTTAGAAAGCTCCAAACATACCCAAAAGTAGTGAGAATTATCTGTGGGACCCCCACCTACATCACCAGCTACAATAACTAGCAACCTTCCACTGCTCCCTTTATCTCCACCATCCCCACCCCAGCGCCACAGCAGATCCTCAGGAAACAAGTCAGCGTGTGTCTCTAACAGGGAGGGACTTGTTTTAAAAGACTTATCTGCAATGCTGTTACCATAGGTAGCAGATTTACACTCTTCCTTACTGTCTTCCAGTACCCAGTCCTCATTCAGTTTCCCCGGGTGTCTCAGAAGGGACTCGAGAGCCAGGTGGGCTGCACAGTCACTGTGATTGATGCCTCAGGCCTGTTGAACCCATAACATCTCCCCCAACCCCTCTTCTGACTGCAGGAGGAGGGCGGGCTTATTAGAAAGAGCAGGCTTCCCTGAAGTGCACAACTAAGTCGGCCCCAGCCCCTCCTGCTGGGAGTGACATGTCTGTCTGGGTGTTAGTGCCGCTGAGCTTAAAGCAGAGGGCGATAGAATCCATTTTTAAAATGTACGTTTCTGAGACGTTCTGACTATTTTTCTCCTCACAAGCATTTTACTCTTATAAAGTCAGAAACAAACAAATATACAGAAGAGAATAGAGCCCCCAGTGCACTGTATCCGCGACTCCAGCGACAGTGTCTGAGTCACTTTTCTGTCCTGCGGGACACCAGGAGGGCACCAGGGAGGAGGGCCAGCTGTCCTTGGACCCACAGGCCCTTTGTCCTTGCCACGTGGTTTATCAATTTTCCAGCACACAGAAAGCATCTGCCTTTTCTCCCAGGGCTGCCATCGACTGCTGTTGCGACGGCCTTCCTGGGGCTCGGGGACACAAGACTGGCGGGAGGCTGGCCTGGTGGCTCCTTCCTCCTCGAGGAAGCTGGAGTGGGTGCGGGGAGCCCTGGCCCTGCAGTAAGCCACTTTCCTTCGTGGGGTGTCTGGGGTTTCAGGGAGGTGTCTTTGAAGACAGGATACTGTTGCTCCTGTTCCAGATGGTTTCTGATGGAGTCACGTTTTTTTTAAAAAAGACACAGACTCAATCCTGTGTTTATAGTTTTGTTTCCTAATGTGAAAATCACTTTGTTCTTCATAAATATGCAGATGGCATGTACTCATATAGAAAATTAAGGTAGCCCGGCCGGGCGTGGCTCAGCGGTTGAGCGTCGACCTAGGATCCAGGTGATCGGGGTTCGATTCCTGGTCAGGGCACATNGCCTCAGGCCTGTTGAACCCATAACATCTCCCCCAACCCCTCTTCTGACTGCAGGAGGAGGGCGGGCTTATTAGAAAGAGCAGGCTTCCCTGAAGTGCACAACTAAGTCGGCCCCAGCCCCTCCTGCTGGGAGTGACATGTCTGTCTGGGTGTTAGTGCCGCTGAGCTTAAAGCAGAGGGCGATAGAATCCATTTTTAAAATGTACGTTTCTGAGACGTTCTGACTATTTTTCTCCTCACAAGCATTTTACTCTTATAAAGTCAGAAACAAACAAATATACAGAAGAGAATAGAGCCCCCAGTGCACTGTATCCGCGACTCCAGCGACAGTGTCTGAGTCACTTTTCTGTCCTGCGGGACACCAGGAGGGCACCAGGGAGGAGGGCCAGCTGTCCTTGGACCCACAGGCCCTTTGTCCTTGCCACGTGGTTTATCAATTTTCCAGCACACAGAAAGCATCTGCCTTTTCTCCCAGGGCTGCCATCGACTGCTGTTGCGACGGCCTTCCTGGGGCTCGGGGACACAAGACTGGCGGGAGGCTGGCCTGGTGGCTCCTTCCTCCTCGAGGAAGCTGGAGTGGGTGCGGGGAGCCCTGGCCCTGCAGTAAGCCACTTTCCTTCGTGGGGTGTCTGGGGTTTCAGGGAGGTGTCTTTGAAGACAGGATACTGTTGCTCCTGTTCCAGATGGTTTCTGATGGAGTCACGTTTTTTTTAAAAAAGACACAGACTCAATCCTGTGTTTATAGTTTTGTTTCCTAATGTGAAAATCACTTTGTTCTTCATAAATATGCAGATGGCATGTACTCATATAGAAAATTAAGGTAGCCCGGCCGGGCGTGGCTCAGCGGTTGAGCGTCGACCTAGGATCCAGGTGATCGGGGTTCGATTCCTGGTCAGGGCACATGCCCGGTTGCGGGCTCGATCAATGACTCTCTCATCATTGATGTTTCTATCTCTCTCCCTCTCCTTTCCTCTCTCTGAAATCAATAAAGATATATTAAAAAAAAAAAAAAAAAGAAGAAGAAAATTAAGGTAAAAGGGAAACAAGTTTAAAAGGTAATAATCACCTGAATAAAATTGTGGCATCCAGGACATACTTTAAAATATACTTGAAATAATTTAGGGAGTTTGGGGTGGGGTGCAGATGAAACGAAACTGGCTGTGTGATGATAATGCGTGAAGCTGATGAGGGGCTTGTGGGGGTTCATACTTTCCTCCCACTTCAGTTTGGGTTTGCCGCTCCTGACTCCCCGCTTTAAAGAGCTGACACTCTGGGTACCTTGGGATTCACTTTCCTGGGCATGTTCTGTGCCAACTAGAGAGACCTAGCGTAACTAGTGTCAGAACCTTTGCTTTTTGCCTCTGCTGCGTGACACTTGGTGACGTCCATCGTTTCTTCACTTGGATGTTGTCTAGTTGCCTCCAGTTAGACTCGATTGTCAGAGGGCGGTCAGCCTCCCTGTGTGTGAGCCCCAGCTCTGACTAGGCACGTTTCTAACCCCTGTGGCCTCAGCTACTTCACAGGAGAGTCGGTGCTTGCTCGTAGGTGGTTTGGAGGGTTGAGTGAGTGAATTTACAGGTCAGCGAGCAGAGCTGTGGTCTGGCGGCGGGTCGGTCCCGTCCTGTGTGGCTGCACGGTAACTATTTCACCGTTCCCGCCCGATGGGTATTAGGTTGTTCCCAGTGTCTCACTGGCTGATGGGTGCGCGCATGAGCCGTCATGAGCCGCGAACAGGAGCCCCCCCGCACACACACGCTCAGCCTCTGGGACCTGTCCGCCCTGCCCAGCTTCAGAGCTGCAGGCCCAGAGCCTCTGTGAGCTATCTGGTGTCGCTGGCCCTTCTCCCCATGGTCAGCTGAGAACAGGCAGGAGTAGCTGGCGCTGAGACCCTCTCCCTTATGCAGATTGCAGGGAAAAGCACACAAACATGGGCCACCAGCGTCACAGGCTGGTGGGCTCCCTGCCGGGTGCAGCCAGGCCTGTGCCTGGGGTCGCCTCAGCACTCCAGTTCTCATCGGTCCTCTCTGCCCCCAGGGAAGGCTACAACAACCCCCCCATCTCAGGCGAGAACCTGATCGGCCTGAGCAGGGCCCGGCGCCTCCACAACGCCGTCTTTGTGAACTTCGAGGACGACGAGGTGCCCACGCAGCCGCTGGAGGCTGCCGCGCAGACGTGGAGGAGGGTCTGCACCAACCCCGTGGACCGGGCGGTGGAGGAGGAGCTGAGGAAGGTGAGCGCCCACGCGCTGGCCGCCCCCGCGGGTCCCTGGGCTCGCCCTCAGCTTTGTCTCTGCAGTCAGCTGGGCTACTCTTTTAAACTGCTTCGTTAGCATGTGGGACGTTTTCACCTCCAGATGTCACACCTGAAGGCCGTGCCAATGTAAGCCGACTGCCAAGGTCGAAAACACTACTGAAAATTCTCTGTTGGGTCCCTTAGGGAGGTAAACAGCCAGAGCATCGTTCAAATACGGCTTTGGTGCTGAGCTCCAGGATCCTGGACGCTCTCTTTCATTCATTCATGGGTTTGCTTCGTGCCAGATGCACACACCCTGCCGCGTGCCAGGCCCATGCTTCCCCCAGTCAGTCGGAGGGCAGTCCTGCCCTGCCTTGCCCTCTGGGTCCGGGGAAGACGCAGGCTGGGGCTCTGCTCCTGATACCCCGCAGGCGCGGACAACAGGTGCTTGGTGAGGCCACCTCCCTGCTGGCTGAGGTGCGCCTCTTGCTGAAGTTAACTGTTTCTTGTGGGGTGGAGTGCTTCTTAAAGAGACTGTATGGACCCCGTGCAGTGTTTCTAGCAATCACAGGGGGAGGGGGCACTGTCTGAGGCTTCTTTTCCCCTGGACATGGCCCGATCCTAACTTGGCTCAGGGCCCTCCCTGCCCTGGCCCTCCTCACTCCAGCCATACTGGCCCTTAGCCCTCCTCCGGGCCAGGAGGGATGAGCTGTGGATGCATTGGCCCCCGGAGGCCAGTCCCTGCTGGGTCAGTCCCTGCCCTCCAGCAACTCCTTTGGGAGGGTCCTCTGGGCCCAGCCCATGCTGTGCAGTCTGAGCCAGTGGGCAGGAAGCTGCTTGTGCTCACCAGCCTCTGCCTTGATGCCTCCCCCCAGCTGTTTGACGTCCGTCCCATCTGGTCTCGCAACGCCGTCAGAACCCAGATCAGTGTCCACCCTGACAAGCTCAAGGTTCTGCTGCCCTTCGTGGCCTATTACATGGTGAGTGTCTGCCCAGCTGTCCCCCTTGGTTCCCACCAAGAAATTTCTGATGTAGTGTCATGTTGATCCCCAGCACAACCTCTTGAAGCCACAGCCAGAGCAGGTGGCCCTGTCCTGGCACCCCCAAAAAGGCCTCCACAGCTCTTGGAACACGTTGGGCCCTTGGGATGATTTTAGGATGAAAGAGTAATTTCGTAACTTTGATGTGAAGGGATTCTATGTCTTCAAGTGACCCTGTGCTGAGAATTCCCTGAGGACCAGGCACTGGGTCGAGTGCTGTGTGCGCATCTGTCCTTTTTTCTTCCCCGGGGGCTGCAGCAGATTCCCTTTTCACCTGTGAGGAAGAGCCTGGGCACAGAGAAGTGACTTAAGGTGCCACGGTTTTACAACCAGTGAGTGGCAGAGCCACCCAGGGTTCCCAGCCTGTCTGACTGCAGAGCCGGGGCCCCTAACCACAGTGCCACTGGCCCCAACACATCCCACCTGGGTTTAGTAGGGTTCATTAGGAGATCCACCTTGGACTCAGTCCAGGTGGGTGGAGATGGGGGTGTCACTGAGCTTCCCAGAGGGGCTGAGGGGAAAGGATCCTACCTGCTAGGGTCCCCATGCAGAGTGTTGCAGAGGCCAACATGAGATGTGACGGTGACAAGTGGTGTCAGGTAATGACGGTAGTGACAGGTGATGACAGGTGGTGGGGCACAAGAAAGGCTCATCTCTTCTGGGCTTAGAGAGTCACCATCTATCTTTTCACATGGGCTTTCCAGACACGAGGACCTCTGGAGTACTTCCCATCCCTTAGGACAGAAATCACATTTACTGAGCACTTACTATGTGCCAGGCATCATGGTACAGGCTTCAGGGGCTTCATCTCATTTAATCCTCACAAACTCTGTGGGAGAGGGGGCTCATGTCATCTCCATCTAACAGACCAGTGCTTGGAATGACTGAGTGACCTGTCCAAGGTGATAGCCACATGTGGCAGAGCTGGGACCAGGTTCCAGAGCCATGTGTCCAGCTCCACTCGCCCCCTCCCTGGGCAGCATCTGGCCTGCATGTCTGTGGGAGCCGGGTCTTGGCCTTGGCCCCACTTCCCACTCCCACCTTTTCTGCCTACAGATAACAGGCCCCTGGAGAAGCCTGTGGATTCGATTTGGGTATGACCCCCGAAAACACCCAGAAGCCAAGATTTATCAAGTTCTTGATTTCCGAATCCGTTGTGGAATGAAATACGGTAAAAGTTACTAAAACCTGGCTTTCTGTTTTTCTGTTCCTGGCGTTCTCTTTTGTGATGAGGGTGCATCCACATGGAGAGGATAACAGGCCTTGCCCCGGTGAGGTCTGAGATGAGGTGGACTTGAGGACGCGAGCTTGGGCCTGCTACATGGCTGACCCTCAAGTTACTGAACCACAGTCGCCCATTCTCTTGGTTATTCCGGTTTCTGTGGCTCCAGTGGCGCAGGCCAGGCAGCCAGTCTGTCCAGTCCCCAGGCCTGCAGCTAGCCACTGCGCCCAGAGCCCCAGCATGTGGCCCTGCAAGGTCGATGCTAGAACACGGTGGCTCCTACCCCAGGTCGTCTCAGGAGCTGTCCCCAGGGAGCCCTGGGAGGGGTTCTGTGACTGCCTGCACCTGACGTATCCTCTCTCGCCTGCAGGTTATGCCTCCAACGAGATGCCTGTGAAGGCCAAACGCAGCACCTATAACTACAGCCTCCCCATCACTGTCAAAAAGACGTGTAAGCACCTTGGCTCACTCTGCAAGTTAGGGCCTAGGGGCCCTCACACCAGCGCTGAGGTCATGGTTTCTGGACTGGGGGGGG